ACCGTTTGTTTCTAAATCTTCATTGAAATGTCATCTTTCAAACCCAAGCAACAAACCATTGTAATATCACAGTCACAGGATGAAAACGAGAGTACACAGAAGCAACTCAAGCCACTCACTTGTTCTTGAGGTTGTCCGAGCTTGTGTGCGTTCTCTGCTTCTCCTCACGCCGTAAACACCTTCTGGGCACGTCTAGGGACGTTCCCTTTTGCTTCCCCGAGCTTCCTTTGCCCTGATTCGTCGCCTATGTCTCGCTCTCTCCCTCTTTCTCTCCTTCCTCTGTTTTGCCCGACCATGGTTGTGGCAGAGGATTGAGGCGTGTTTATGGCGTGCGAGAGGGATCAAATGGGCTCGATCCCAGGCCCATCGGAAAGCCTGCAACGCCCTTAGCGCGTGGGAGGCAACGGGATGGCGCGGGGGACCCGAAAATCCGACAAAATCCGCGTCCGAACATGGCAAGCTGGCAGCTTGCTTTTGCTGTCGAGGCCCGGTCTGCCGGACCAGCTCCTGGTCCGCCGGACCGGGATCACTTTATTTTTTTTTTTGAATTTTTTCTTCTCCCAGTCCGCGCGCTCCGTCCCGACTCCGCCTGAGTTGTTGGTCCGCCCCGGACCGGTCCTGGTCCGGCGGACCAACCTCTCTTTTTTTTTTTTTTTCGTTTTTCCTTCTTTTTCAGTCCTTCTCGATTCTTTCCGCGTGTGACGATTCTCGTGCTTCACTTCGGCATTGTACCATTCCCTTTGGGTAATTTTTGTGACATCTCTCTTTAATTATTTGTTTTTAAATAATTAAATATTCAGATCGGGTTTCGGGGTATTACACCATGTTTCTGCAAAAGGAGGTAAGAAGAAAGAAAAGAAGAAAGAACAAAGAAAAGGAAGATGTCCTCACCACACTCAAGTGTTTCACTCGATATTTGGCTTTTACCCTTTGATGATCTCACACCCTCTTGCCTTTTCCCCCTCTTTAGTATTCTCTATATGGTTCTTATCGAACTATTCCGATTTCAATCAGAAATCTTCTCCGCAACGGTCCACCAGGACAAATCAAGGAATAATAGGACAACGAAAGAAGACACAAAAAGATGGACAATCGGAAAGAAAGATGAGCAAAAGAGGAACCCAAAAGAAGACGACAAGAAGAAGATGCAACAAGATGCACTAAGACTAAAAACAATTGGAAAGAGTAGTAAAGCTACGTATGAAACCCCTTTTTTTATTTTCTTTTCGCTTATAAATTGCAAAACCAAAACTGTTCTCTTTTTTTTTCAACTTTTTTTTTCGTTTTTCTTTTATCTTTGATTCTTTTTTCTTTGATTTTTTTTTTCTTTTGACTCTTTTTTTTCGTTTTTTTTCTCTCTTTTTTTTTTACTTTTCACAAATGCAAACTTTAAAAGTAATAAATTAGAAATAGATGACTAGGAAGAAGAACGAATTGAAAAGAACGAATTGAAAAGATAGAAGATAGATAAACCTAGATTAGAGACGAGCTCTGATACCAACTGATGCGGAACCGAGGACCTTTACTCTAATTTGGAGGATGGAGACCGCGATCTCTAACCAACCGGTAGGAATCAATCAACCTTGGCACAAGTCTAAAAGATTGCCTCGACCTAGACCTAACACCGTGATTAGCAACCTTGGTATAATGAAGACGCCACAAACGGTTATAACTGTCCGTTTGATAAGTCAGGTGAACGCCACGGATAGAAATCCGATAAGTTCAAAAACAATTCACAAAGAACTAAAAGAGAATACTCTCACAAGTTTATTGATCAAGGATGTGTGTTTACAAGTGAGATTAGCTCACCTATTTATAGGAGAAGTAAGAACAATCCAAAAGACATAAAAGACTAGGATTAAATGTAGTCTTCCTAGAATTTTGGGATTATTGGAAAACAAAGCCATAAATGTGGTGGACTTGACTTTGAATGTCTTGGAATCATCATGAAGACTTGAATTTGCATATTCCTTAGTGAGTTTCGTCATGGACTTAGGCTGCAACATTTGGGCCTTCATTTTGGGCTCTCCACACTTGAAATCATGTTGAAAATGGGCTGGACTTGTATATGACTTGATCCAAGATGATTTTCCATGTGTTTTTGGCCCAACCATTCAAGAAAAAAGGCCATTTAGAGCAGCTTGGAATTCCCTTGATTTTGACCTCGTCATTGGTCCATTCGAGAACACGAGATGATCCGCATTGCTATCCTGCTCCGCATCAGTTAGAGGTCGTGGTGTCCATCCGCCTAGTTAGAGCAAAGGTCCTCGGTTCTGCATCATTCAATCTCAAAGGTCTTCATGAAATTAGGAAGCACATGGAGTGTTGCATGCGTCAACTTCCCTTTTAGGTCTTGGAAGGCCTTCTCTTGAGCTTCTTCCCACCTGAAACCCACGTCTCTCTTGATGCAGTCAATGGGGCTGCGATAGTGCTAAAATCCTTGACAAATAGTCGGTAGAATCCAGCCAATCCATGAAAGCTCCTAACTGCTCCAACGGTGGTAGGTGTCGGCCAGTTCCGTATCGCCTCTACCTTCTCTTCGTCCACCTGTATCCCCTACTCACTCACAACAAATCTTAGAAACACAAGTTTGTTAGTACAAAACGTGCATTTCTTAATATTCGCATAGAGTTTCTCCTCTCTAAGAACATCTAAGACAACCTTAAGATGCTCTATATGATCGCTAGTCGATTTGCTGTATACCAAGATGTCATCAAAATAAGCAACAACAAATCTCCCAATGAACTTTCTAATCACATGGTTCATCAAACACATAAAGGTACTAGGTGCATTACTAAATCCAAATGGCATGACTAACCACTCATATAATCCTAACTTAGTCTTGAATGCAGTCTTCCATTCATCTTCCTCACGCATCCTAATCTGATGGTACCTGCTCTTAAGATCTATCTTAGAAAACACTCTAGAGCCATGCAACTCGTCTAACATATCATCTAGCCTAGAAATGGGATAGCGATACTTCACCGTGATATTGTTGATTGCGCGACAATCGACACACATCCTCCAAGAGTCGTCCTTCTTAGGCACCAGAATAACAGGAACTGTGCAAGGTGACATGCTCTCCCGCACGTATCCCTTCTCCATAAGTTCTGTAACTTACTTTTGAAGCTCCTTTGTCTCCTCGGGATTTGTCCAATATGCCAGTTTGTTCGGTATGCTCGATCCTGGGACAAAGTCTATCTGATGCTCAATACCTCTAAGTTGAGGTAAGCCATGGGGTATCTCATTCGGAAACACATTCTAAAAATCCTGCAAGAGATCAAAGACATCGCGAGGAAGAGTAGATGGTAACTCGTCAGTGAACAAGACCTCTTTGTACATAAGTACTATCATCAGTCAACTTGAAAGTAATGCTTTCTTTACATCTCTCCCTCTCGAAAGAAGTAGTGTGTTTGAGCTCTCGGGTTTTCTCTCAAAGGCCCTTTCTGGGTTTCACTCAAGAACTCTCGATCTTTTGGTGTATCACTCGTGGATTCACTCATCCCATGCTTCTTCTCGTTCTTGAGCATCCGCAATTGATCTTCGCATACCTCCTTAGGAGTAAGAGGTACTAGTCGCATCGGTTTCCCATGGTACTCAAATGTATAACGGTTGGTATAACCATCTGTGAGTTTTAGAGTATGGAGTGAGGACGAAAATGAAGAGAGAATGAAGAGAATTTCGTGCTTAGCACAGAGGATTCTACTTATTCATAATGTGAGAGGTTACACACATTTATAGGACAGCTTAGAGACAAAGTATTAAATGCACTAGTTGTTGCATGTGTGCATGACAAGCATTTAATGAGGTGCTGTCTTCAATACTTGATTTGTATAATAAAGAGGTGCTGCATGATATCTTCACATTAATGCACCAAGATGATTAGCTCCTGCATTTATTTCGCAGGTTCCTTGTTGTGCAGGTCATCTGATGATGATCCGCCATCTATGTTGTCTTCAACGTCTTTAACATTCCCTCTCAAGGTTGGAGTTGAATAATGGATAAGTCCAACCTTGATGAGAAGCTTGTCTAAGACGTGAGATCTTGCGGCTTTGGTGAAGATATCAGCTAGTTGATCTGCACTCTTTGTGTATGTAAGTGTAATGACCTCGTTCATCATCTTCTCCCGTATAAAGTGACAGTCCACCTCTATATGCTTGGTGCGCTCATGGAACACCGAATTTGTGGCAATGTGAATCGCAACTTGATTGTTGCAATGTAGAGTGATCGGTTTGTTGGAATGAAACCCAAGATCACTAAGAAGAGCTTTCAACCAAGTTAGCTCACTTGCAGTATTTGCCATGGCGCGGTATTCTGCTTCGGCGGTAGATCTTGCAACCACCGATTGTTTCTTGCTCTTCCAAGTGACGAGATTTCCTCCAACAAATGTGCAATATCCTGTTGTGGATTTTCGATCGTTTCTGCCCGTTGCGTTCCATCCAAACTCCTTTGCACAGTGTTCCCTTTAAGTACTTGAGAATTCGATCCACCATACCCCAATGATGTTGTGTTGGCTTATGCATCCATTGACTAACCTGCTGCACAGCAAAACTAATATCAGGTCGGGTAATACAAAGATAAATCAACTAACCTACAGTTCGTCGATAAAGTTCAGCATCCTCAAATGGTGATTTATCTCCAACTTCTTTGAAATTCTCCTCAAGCGGTGTTTTCGCAGGTTTTGCACCGATCTTTCCTGTTGCTGCAACTAACTCAAGAGTGTATTTCCTTTGTGATAGAAACAGTCCTGATTGAGTACGAAAGACTTCTATACCAAGAAAATACTTTAATTCCCCCAAATCCTTAATGTCGAATGACGAATGCAACATTTGTTTGGTTCGACTTATGCCATCATGATCACTACCGGTCACAATTATGTCGTCAACATATATTAAAAGAACGACAATTCCTGATTCCCTCTGAAGAGTGAAGAGGGAGTGATCGGATTCACTCTTCACAAACCCATGATTAGTGAGTGCAGTGTGAAGTTTTTGATACCAAGCACGTGGAGATTGTTTGAGACCATAAATCGCTTTCTTCAGTTTACAAACCTTGTCTATTCCAATGATATCTTGATAACCAGGAGGTGCAACCATATACACTTCCTCAGTTAGTTCCCCCTGAAGAAAAGTGTTTTTGACATCCATCTCCATAACTCCCAATCAAAGTTAGTAGCAAATGATAAAATGACACGAACAGAAGTTAATTTAGCAACAGGAGCAAATGTGTCGGTATAGTCTTCCCCATAGGTTTGAGTAAAACCTTTACCAACTAACCGTACTTTATATCGCTCAACCTCCCCATTGCTCAAGTGTTTCACCTTGTATACCCATTTGCAACCAACTGGACGTTTGCCGTCGGGTAGAGTGGCCACTTCCCAAGTGCCACTGCGTTCCAGAGCTTGAATTTCCTCATCCATTGATGTGCGCCACACATGGATATGTTTGGCTTCTTCATAAGAAGAAGGCTCATCTTCACTTTCAACTAGACTTAGGAACGCCTGATGACAAATTGGAAAAGAAGAACAGTCATCATAGAATTGAATGGGGTGTGCAACAGCATACCCATTGTAGTAGACTCGACGGTTACTCCATTCGGAGATTGGTGCGCGTGGCCTAGTGCTTCTGCGAAGTGCAGGAGGATTGGGAGGATCATTTGAGTGAGATTGCTCCATCGAGGAGGACACCTCTGATTCAGGTGAGCTTGTCTCCATGTCATCTTGCAATGTTGAGTCGTGGTTGGCATTGTCATTATCATCCTGAAAAGGTGTAACGTTATCAGTTGAAACAAAGTCTTGTGATACAGACGGTACCTCACAATCCACTTGGGAATCCTTTTTGGCGGCATCCTCACTAGACTGAGATGAAGGTGGGGTGCAGGTGCTTGATGATTGACGGTGTTGTTGGAGTTCATTAGTAGGATGTAACATGTGATCTAAAGCTTGTTGGAATCGTATTCCATGATTGAGTATCATAGTAGCTTAGATCTTCATGAAATTTCACCTCCCTTGACACTGAACACGATCGGCAATTGGATCAAAGCACTTATAGCCCTTTTGTGTGGTAGAGTACCCAACAAGAATACACTTTTGACCGTGCATCAGTTTACGACGTTGATTTTCTGCAAGAAAAACGTAACAAACACATCCAAAAACTTTAATGTGTTCAAGTAATGGCTTACACTTGTTAATTACCTCAAAAGGAGACGAGTCTGCCAGACACTTTGTGGGCAGCCTGTTAATAAGATAACAAGCAGTTTGTACAGCATCTCCCCAATGTTTTCTTGGCACATTTCGATGAAACATCATAGCCCTTGCCACCTGATGAGGTCATCGTCCTAACCATGGATGCGGATGAGCACAATGGACCGGATGAGAGCAAGGAGTGCATGGAGGAGGAGCTGAGCTCGGAAGCAGAATGCAACAACACCGAGGCTATCTTTCCACCTATGCCGGAACCACCCCTCACACGGTCTATGACACGAGCATGGCAGGCCAAAGTGAGGACTCTCATGGCACAATGGATCGAGCAAAACACGAACAAGAAGGACGAAACAAGCAAGAAGGCGTGGATGATTCTCGGTCTTGCATTGACCGAGAATATGAGCTGAATTTGTTCCTTGTAGACTTGGCAAATCTGGACCATCACTTCATCCATACAAGGACAAGTCTCCACATGAAGAAGAAAAATACCATAAATCGCAACCTATCCCTCGTTTACCGAGAAAACCCGAATTTGTCCAATCTGTCCGAAATTTCCTTGTGTTCGTGGACGTGAATTGGACCGAGGTGCATATCATTTTGGTATCAGAGCCCGGTTCAAGGACCTACGAGGCGAGGAGCCAAAAAGAATCATGTCGGGAGATGGAGAAAGTAGCAACCAAACCATCCTTCAAGCGTTGCAACAAATCCAAGAACGTTTAACACGTTTAGAATAGATTCTGCGTCATCTCGAACCAATTCGATTTAACTTTCAAAGACAAGAAGAAGAACCACAAAGGGATCGAGATGATGCACCACAAAACTCTCTTCCAAGGCGTAGGGAGGCTCGTGCTCATCGACATCAGATTGATTCGGATGAAGAAGAGGACTACGTGCAAGCACCACGAGTCCAACGAGGTAATGATCCAAAACTTTCAATGCCTACATTCGCATGTAGGATTAATCCAGATGCCTATCTCGATTGGGAGAGGCGGATGGACAATATTTTCGAATGTTATGAGTATTCTGATCAGAGGAAGGTTAGATACGCAGCGGCACAACTCACCAACAGCGCCTTAGCATGGTGGGATCGAGAAATAGCCGAGAGGCGTAGAGCACAGTATGAACCTGCCACAACATGGAGAGAGATGAAGTTCATGATGCGTAAAAGGTATGTACCTCCACATTTTCATCGTGACTTGCAACGAAAATATCGTAACTTGGTTCAGGGAACTAGAACCGTTGAAGAATACTATGAGGAGTTCGAACACCTACGAAACCGATTGGAGTTAGATGAAAGCGAAGAAGCGATTATGGCACAATTTGTGGATGGATTGCAGGAGCGAATTGCTCGAAAGGTAGAACGTTTAGCTTACCATTATTTGCAGGAAGTTATCCATATCTCAATCCAAATCGAGCAGCAAATCGCCAAGAAGCAAGCTCGTTTTAACCGAGCAAGAACAACCTCTTCGAACCAATCATATACACGCGGTGAGAAAAAGTCAGGGACTGTTTCAACAACCAAATCAACCCAATCCGAGGAAAATATCCATGACAAAGGGAAATGCATAGCAACATCTTCGGGATCAGGTCCTAAAGGTAACAAATCAACTCCCGTTGAATTACGTTCACGTGAGATTGTTTGCTACAAGTGTAGGGGACGAGGACATTATGCAAAGGACTGTCCAAACAATCGTGTCATGATCCTTACGGATACGGGAGATTATGAGTCCATGGACGAAGAGGAGGTTGATGATGCTGAGGAGAACATAGAGTATCCGGACAATGGAGAACTCTTGGTCACAAGGCGAGTTTTGAGCATGATGACAAATCCGGAAGAAACTGCCCAAAGAGAGACAATCTTCCACAGTCGTTGCACTATTAGAAACAAGGTATGTGGCCTAAT